GATCTATCTCTAGTTTTAGTTCTGTCTCTATTCCTATCTCTTTCTCTATTTCTCTCCCTATCTCTTCGTTCCCTGGATCTATCTCTAGTTTTAGTTCTGTCTCTATTCCTATCTCTTTCTCTGTTTCTCTCCCTATCTCTATCTCTTCTTTCATAAGAACGTTCATTCGATCTTTCACGATATCTGTCGCGATAAGATCTCCCTTCAATAAATGGCCTATAATAAAAAAAAAAAATTGTAATAATAATAATTAACAAATTACTATTCACAATCCTTCCTATTCAAAAACGATTTGTCATTCTGTGTTCCTAAACCCAGATAATATTTATGTTGCGTAAGATACCTAAAAGACCTCTTTGTCTCATGTCTAAAAGATGCAGTCTAATAGCGTATTCAAAACGAGCGAATTTGCATAAATCTAAATTGGATTAATGATGTTATATGTTCTCCTATTGGTGGAATATGTAACGTCAACCAATAGTAGAACATCATCCAACCCAAATGGGAGCAAATCCGCTTGAATCGGAAACGTTATAAAAAAGATTTCTTAAAGATCTTCTAGATATCTTATGCAGCATGCACGTTATCTAGGAATTTATTGCCAGTATCGAAAATCCATAATTTACGAACACTATAGATTTTCAATTGTTGGTGGCGCAACATCCCAAGGCAGGATAGAGCCTATTTCTTATGAAGTTTTTTCGTATCAATGGATTTTTTTCCGGAATTAAGTTGTTAGCTTAATATCCAACTTTCAGACTGAAGGATTTATACACATATGCACCATTGATATTATATGGAACCTATAAATTAATACCGGATCCGAACAGCATTGGTGATCAAAGATCTCTTAATGATTAGATAAAGCTAGGAAAAATCGCGTATATGAGAGCAGGTGGAATTAACCCGGTTCTACAGATCGTGAGTTAATTGCACCGAGCGGGAAATCGTTCGACATCTCATAGATTTTCAGTACTGGCAGTAAATTTTGGAACACAGTCTTTGTTGTACGTTTTACAAATCAATTAAGTCTGATAGTACCAAATCATAACAAGTCATAATAGACTAAAAATAATTTAAATGTTTAAGATAATAAAAATATTTATTTATCTAAAATAATAAAGTATGTTAATGAAATTATGTTCTATACCTGGAATGTGAGTTACGTTCTCTAGAACGCGATCGATTATTATCATGCTTATTTGCATCATCTCTTTCAGTATATTTCTCTTTATATTCTCTGCGTTTCTCTAAATCGCTTCTCCTAAAATAAAGTAACAAAACATACTTTTCAGGTAAAACAGTAAGGGAGTGTTTATACTGGCCGTAATCTGTAAGAATTGATCTATCACGGTTTAGTATTCCTCTCATTCGATAGAAGAAGAGATACTCGGAGATGATTGGTCAATTTTTACAGATTACAGCATACGGCATACTTGTTTGTATGTATCCTTCATTACGTCAAAAATAAACTTTCTTTATCTCAAGAAATTAATAAATAAAGCTTACCCATCATCTTTATGAGTATCACATTTTTCTGTCTTGTCCTGATGCTTCAAATCCATGCGACGACTATAATCATAAGAAAATAGATTAAAGAGTGTAATTTAGCGTAAATAGAATATTGTCATAACGAGTAAAACGAACCTGGATTGATAGGAAGATGGATATCCAGAATAGACACGATTCCTAATAGGACTCAAGGATAAAGAACGTTTCCTCAAAGAACGTGACTTGATTGTCAAGGCTGTATAATATTATAGTGTTAAAATATATACATTTTTTTTTAAATACCGTGTTTTGTAATATTTATTATTGAGCCTCTAAAATCGGGAACTAAAACTTTCACAATTACAGAAAAATAACATAATCATGTGGTATATCGTCTTCAAACACGCGATCTTTAAATTACCTATTTCGATAATTATAATTATAAATATAGCTTCCCATTTGAGAAGTATTACAGTTTCGATATTTTCATCTCATTTTTAGCAAAGAGATATGTCATAATTTTAAGGCATTAATCAAATATTAATAATTATACGATTGTAAATGTTTTATTACAAATATATGTATATATATATATA